GGTCCCGGGCCGCCCCCTTCGCCTAGTGGTCCAGCCCACCGGTCTCCCCGGCTCCCGCCGCGGCCTCCTTACCTGCACGTGGTCTTGCCAACGCCACCTTTGCCCCCGACGAAGATCCACTTAAGGCTGCGCTGCTCGATGATGTTGCCAAGCGTGGGTTCCAGCGGCTCCACATCGGGCGCATCCTCGAACTCCTCCGCTTCAACCCCCCACCCGGCCACCCCTGCCGCCATCTTGGAACCGGCTCACGTGACCACGCGGAGCGCACCACGCCAGGCACCTGCGGGGGGAGTTCTCGGTCACATCTCCAGCGGGAACAGCAGCCCGAGGGACGTTCCCCACCCCCTGGCTTTTAGGCGCCATAGAAGAGGCTATAGTTCCAATGTTCTCCTTTCCCGAGGTTTACCTTCTTGATCTCTCGATTATGTTTTCTCACAGACGCCCCCCGATTAATTAACATATTGGTACGTTCCAAAATACTCCCCTTCACTGATTGGACCCCAAGTCTTGCAGCACTCTTTTCATTGGCTACTTTTTTTTTTTTTTCCTTTCTCCAATCCCTCCCCTGTGCCGGCAGTCTCCCGCCTCTCCTTAGCAACCCACCAAGCACCCGGTCCATACCCTTTCCCTGAAGTTGGATCCCAGACTCGCCCCGGCCTGACGCTATGGGCTCAACCTCAGGTCGATCATTGCCCCCCCCCCCCCCCGCCCAGTTCTCTAAACTGGGTCCCCAAGTTGTCTCAAGTCCGTCTCCTTTGTGAGCCACCCGGGCTCCTCACGCAAACCAATCAGACAGATTGATTAGTTGACCGAAGACGCGAATGGCCTAGCCCTAGAGGGAGACCGCCTCCAATTGTGTGCAAGGCCCACAGACCCCTGTCCAGTGCTCCCAGAGCCCCCATGCTGGGAAGATCAGGGCAGGGATCACACTTGCAACCGGCTCCTTGTGTTTCCTGTTCCCGAAAACCTTCTTGCAGTTTGCTCCCCATGGAAGGGGAGACTCCAGGTTAGCGAATTCCCCCTGTTGGACCTCAGCAATGGACAGGAATACAAGCTGGGTACCAGGCCCTTGGCGGACACTTTTGTGTGTGTATGTATTTGTTTTTAAGCTATTTTATTGCTCTGGCCAGTGTGGTTCAGTTGGTTGGGACTCCTTCCATGTACCAAAAGGTCGCCGGTTCCATTCCCAGTCAGGGCACATGCCCGGGTAGCGGGCTCTATCCCTGGTTGGGGGGTGGGGGTGGCTGGAGGCAGCTGATCATATCGATGTTTTCTCTCTTTCTCCCTTTCTCTCTAAAATCAAATTTAAAACATTTAAAAATATTTTTATTGGTTTTGAGAGAGAGGAAGGGAGAGGGAGAAACATTGATGGGCTGCCTCCTGCACGCCCCCTTCCGGAGCTCCAGCGCGCAATCCGGGCGTGTGCCCTGACGCGAATGGAACCAACCACCTTTCCTGGCACCGGACGACGCTCAACCAACTCAGCCACGCTGGCGAGGGCTTGGCGGACACTCTTGATAATAAGCGGGGGGACACCGGTTTAGAAAGCCCAAATAATACCCTGGTTCTGAGATGGGACCCCCAGCTCCACGGAGCTCCATCCCAGGGACATGTCATCAACCCAGAACAACCTCATCCAGGCTAGAGACGCTCTCTAGACTCAGTTAGGGACCCATGTTCCAAGGCAGCAGTTCTCAACCTGTGGGTCGCCACCCCTTTGGGGGGGTCCAACGACCCTTTCACAGGGGTCGCCTAAGACCCTCGGAAAACACATATATAATTCCATATTGTTTTTGTGATTAACCACTATGCTTTCATTATGTTCAACCCCCCACTTCCCCCCACCCCCGTCTCAAGCGGAAACCCCACTCCTGAGAGCCCGCTACACCACGTCTCCGTGATGCCCGCCCAAGCCTAGCTGAACGGAAAAGCCCGCGAATCCGCGGGCCGGTTTTTACCCTCCTTCGCTCCGCCCTCAGGTTCCGCCTCCACTGCGACGCCTTGAGGACCAGACGGCTCTTCCCGGCATGCATTGCCCGGGACCGACTAGTCGGGCGCCAAGCGCGGGCCGGAGCGGCCTTCCCGGAGTCCTTTGCGCCGCACCTGGTGACAAAATGGCTGCCCGAGGGGGACGGGCGGAGCCTCCGGGCCGGGAGGCACCGGGCC